CCCAACAAATTTTCTCCAGACGACAACAAAGACCCTCACAAAACCCAGGGTCCCCCAAGGTGCAGAACCACAAGGACACGGAGAGTGGCAGGGAAGTGTGTACGGCAGCCTGTACGTGACAAATTGGATTTCATTTCATTGCGTCAGGCAGCAAAATGGGCAAATAAAACTGACCTGCCTATGTACTTGTGCGTTCTGAGGGCCACCGAACTCCCTGTAGAGAAGAAGAAAAGGCCAAGGTCTAAGGTTGGTGCAGCACGGGGCATGACTGAGGGCGAAAAGCGGAGGTTATCGAAGGAAACAGGCCCAGTTACTCAGGATATGCCGATGGAGACAGTGATTCAGCTGAAGGTCCAGGAGGCTGATGAGGAAGTCAGGGAACAGTTGCAGCAGACACTGAAGGAATTCCAGGATGTGTTCCCTGACCAGCTGCCATATGGTCCACCTCCGAAGAGAGTTGTCGATCATGAAATTGATACTCTGCCAGGCGAGGCACCGCCTCATAAAAGTCCGTACAGACTCAGCACGGCAGAGTTGGACGAGCTAAAGCGACAGATCGACGTGCTACTGGAGCAGGGGTGGATCAGACCAAGCTCAAGCCCGTATGGCGCCCCTATCCTTTTCATCCCCAAGAAGGATGGGAAATGGCGCATGTGCATAGACTATCGGGCATTAAACAAAATCACTGTCAAGAATCGGTATCCGCTGCCAAAGGTGGAGGAATTACTGGACCGACTTCACGGGGCACGTTACTTCACGAAGATTGATCTCGCCTCTGGTTACCATCAAATCAGAGTGCGAGAGTCAGATGTACACAAAACGGCCTTTGTGAGTCGGTATGGCAGCTACGAGTATCTGGTCATGCCATTCGGACTGTGTAATGCACCAGCAACCTTCCAGCGCATCATGAACACAGTACTGCGGGAAGGCTTGGACAAATATGTGTTGGTGTTCCTTGATGACATCCTGATATACAGCAGAACCAAGGAGGAACACCTACGACACATCAGGGAAGTTCTGAGTAGACTTCGGTCGGAGAAGCTGTTTGGAAGGCTGAAGAAATGCGACTTCTTCAGAACCGAAGTCGAATATCTGGGCTTTGACGTGGGAGCTGAGGGGATCAAGCCCTCATTGTCGAAGGTCAGAGCAATTTTGGATTGGCCGACACCAACCAACGTCACTGATGTCCGGTCATTTTTGGGGCTGTGCAGTTTCTATCGCAGATTTATACGGTGGTTCAGCGAACTGGCAGTACCCATGACGGACCTTACGAAGAAGGACAGAACCTTTGTCTGGGACGATGAAGCAGAAAAATCATTCAACAGGTTGAAGACAGCGATGGTGACTGCTCCAGTGTTGCAGTTACCGGATTTCGAGCGGGAATTTGTGGTCACAACGGATGCGTCAGAGGTATCCGTCGGAGGTATCCTGCAACAGGATTTTGGCAACGGGCTGCAACCCGTTTGCTATGAAAGCAGGAAGCTCAACCCCGCAGAAACCCGGTACAGTGCATACGAAAGGGAATTTCTGGGCATCACCTGGGCTGTTGGGAAATGGCGGCATTATTTGGCCAGCCGCCACTTCATCGTCCAGACAGATCATGACTCTTTGAAAAACCTGCCCAACCAACCTGCTGTCAACAGACGGTTTTGGAAATGGGTGCAGGTACTGCAAGGATACGATTGTGACATTGTCCATATCCCAGGAAAAGACAACCCTGCAGACTTCCTCACGCGCAGGAGTATTCAGGAATTGCGCAGTATGGCAGATGTGCATGCGGAAGAGGAGTCATTGGTCCAACGTCTTAAGTTGAATGAAGGTGACAAGGGGGAGAACGAAATACAAAAGAAACTCGATGAAATTTTTAAGAAGTCGAGAACTGGGGAAGCAGTGGTGGCTACTGGTGGGGGAGATCATTCACTTCATTCTTTACATTCTTTGTTGGTGACCAATGCCCGTGTCACACTGGAGGAAGGCTTGAGGGACTCCATTAAAAAGGGCTATCGAGAAGACAGCAGATGGGCAGAAGTGATGGAACAATTGGAATCTGCCCAAGGACGTGTCACCAGGATCGGGAATCGTGATTACCGGCTGAGTCATGGATTGCTGGAGATTAAAGTAAAAGACGACTCAGAGGACAGGCGACCTTGGAGGTTGGTGGTGCCGGATGTGGAGGATGCCCGCAGAAGGATTATGGAGGAGGTACATGCAGTACCATATGCGGGTCATCTAGGCTACCACAAGACACTCAAGAAGTTACAACAAAACTTCTACTGGCCAGACCACACGGTGGATGTGAGAGATTATGTGTTGGGATGTGAGGTCTGCCAGTCTGAGAAGAGTGTCCACAAGGTGCCGGCTGGACTACTGCAGCCTTTACAACTTCCAGAGGAGAAATGGAACGACATCAGCTTGGACTTCATCATGGGTCTACCGGTCAGTGAGAGGAGCAACGACGGGATCCTGACAGTTGTAGACCGGGCAACGAAGATGGTACACCTAGTACCAATTCAGCAGACCATCACGGCTGCTGAAACTGCCCGTGTCTACTGGGACAACATTGGGAAACTACACGGGATCCCCAGGTCAATTGTCAGTGACCGTGATCCAAGATTTGTGTCCAAGTTCTGGCAAGAATTCTGGAAGTTACTGGGGAGTAAGCTGCGAATGTCCAGTGCCCACCACCCTCAGACAGATGGTCAAACGGAGGCAGCAAATAGGGTGGTGGAGCAAGTCCTCCGATGCACAATCCATGCGAGTCAGGACATCACACACTGGGAGCGTTATCTGTCCATGGTGGAATTCGTGATGAACAGCAGTGCATCACCAGCTACGGGGCATACACCGTTCTACCTCAACTATGGGTTTGAACCAGTGACCCCATTGGACTTGATACGGGACGTCGACCAGACAAACCTTGAAGGGGTTGATGTTTTCGTTAAACGTATGAAGAAGACGTTCAAGCTGGCAATGCAGATGGTTCAACAGGCACAACAGAGACAGAAACGCCAAGCCGACCAACGGCGGCGTGATCAGCGGTTTCACAGTGGGGAACAGGTGTTGCTGAGCACCGAACATCTACAATTGAAGAATGCACCTGTTCGCAAACTCAAGAGGCGATTCGTGGGTCCCTTTGCTGTGGTCCGTCCGGTGGGACCAGTGGCCTATGAATTGGAGCTGCCTAAAGGGTGGAAGATTCACAATGTCTTCCATACGAGTTTGCTTCGACCATTCAGAACGTCCAAATGGTCATCCCCACAGGAAGATGAAGATGCTGAGATTGAAGTTGAAGCCGATGAACCATATGATGTGGAGAAGCTGCTGCGTTGGAGATGGGCAGGCCCCAGTGGCAGGAGGCACAAGGAATTTTTGGTGTTATGGACAGGGTGGAGCTTGGATGATGCCTCCTGGATACCGGCTGGAAATTTCACCTATGCAAGAGAGCTGCAGAAGATGATCAAGAGGGACAAGCCCGAGGAAGTCACTAGTATGGGATAGTGATGCTTTCGAGGGCGAAAGCTACCCCAAGGGGAGAGTACTGTTGTGGAGCTACTTGGGGGCAGACAGTTAATGGTGTTTTCTGCAGTTATATTACGTAATCCCGCTGAGTCATCCTTCTCTACGGTTTTATTATGAATTTTTGGTTCCAATGCTTCGTTCAGCACTCAATTCGGTGGAGTTTGGAGGAAGATACGGCCTCTTGAAGACGTAGTACTTTGAGGCCGGGTGCTGGGTGGGGATGTTTGGAATTAGAGCTAGATTAGGGTGATTATAGGTGACCGGGGGCGCTGGGACATGGTCCGTACATTACACTGAGCTGTCATGTTTGATGTGACGCGATGGACCCGCGACCGGGCATCGCGCAGGTACATTGGATGCGCGCATCGCGAGTGTCAGACTGTAACCGCATTCGGGCCCCCTCTCTGCCCCGCCGCGAGGCAGTGAACCACCGACCGCCGCCGCGAATCCACCGCCTGCACACGGCAGGCTTCGGGGAAGGTCCCCAAGCGTCCAAGGGCCCACCGCGCTACCGAACAACCGAGCACCCCGACAACGCCCGCCGGAATCCGGCGGAGAGGCGCGGCATCGAGGCCGCGCCATCGGGTGCGGCGACCGCCCCCAGCACTCCGGAAACCAGCGGCCGCCCGCGGGCCGCAACACCTTTCTTGCGGATTTTCTTGGGCCTTTAGCTCGAACTCTCTGCCATTTTCTCCTTCTCGCTTTCCTCACCCGTTCCGTTTGTTGCGGGCACCAGGGAGCTTGTCAGCTAAAATTTTGGATTCTTCACCGTTTTGGAGAGCGCCTTCTGCTACGGGGTGCCCCGTTGTCTTGAACTGGCAACGCAACGTATGTCCGGAAGTTGTCTTGGCGCGTGCCCGTCCGTCGTTGCATCCTGCTAACAGGATGAAATCAAAGATGATGTGCCGATTTCGTGCATCACCGACATGATACTCTCTGCGACTCTTGTGTGGCTCAAAGGAAGTCTTTCTGGGCAGGATTGCCGCCTCGTGAATTCTCCTCGTCTCATCAACTTTGCTGAGGTTCGTCCTTGCCGCCAGCGAATCGGCTGCCCGCACGCACAGGGGAGCCACAGGCTCGTGCCCTTTTGCCAACAACATTGCATTTAAATACAACAATATTTCCCCTTTTCCGCCAATTATTGTGAGGTCGTTGTAGACCGCTAACACAGGGACGCTGCTGGCTGTGCGGGTTCCGTAGAGACACGTGACATGACCGGTGCGCCGATTTTTCGCGTGGCCTGCAAGGATTTTCATTCACATATTCCCTTCAGAGGGTAGGCACTTCAAACAAATGGGAGAGAAGTGCTTTCCTCGGGCAACCCTTGGGCGCGTCCCTCCCCATCCCATCGGGCATCAAACCCACAGAATGACATCATGTCATGGAAGGCAAAGCGTGGCGCCCGTGCTGCCCTCCCCGCACAGGAGCGCCCCCACGCGCACAACAGGCAGCGCCCTCCGCGCGCGCCCCGGGAGCCAGCGATGTTTTGGAAAGTCGCGGGGTTCTCCCAGCCGTCGCCTATCGAGGTGGGTGCCGCGCCCCGGCGGCAGCGAAAATGGGGGCGGGTGGGGTTGCCCGCTCGCGCATGCAGTGGGAGAATTGGGGTCCCGCGCCCGGTCGCGGTCGAAGTGACAAATGCCGCGCCGACGATTGAGCGCGAGCGCGGGGAAGGTACCCGGGCCTTGTCAGCGGTCGACGGCGAGGCGGAGGATTGCTGTCGGTTGCCTTCGGCGTGGCTGCGTGGGAGTTTGCCGTGATGTTGGGGAATCGTGGGAAGTCTGAATGTTGTGTGCGGTGGGTGGGCTCTGAGGCCGGCGGGTTTGCTCCAGGCTATCTTGGACAGGGAGGACTTCTCGTTGGAGGAGCTCCTCGACGAAGATGACCTGATACAAGAGTGCAAATCGCTGAATGGAAGGCTGATAAATTTGTAGGTTGGCACCCGTGCGCCTGGCTGCTGGTGAAAGCCCTCTTGTTCCATTTTTCTGGCGTTCATGACGCCCTTGCCAGGTGAAAAGCTCAGTTTCGCCTGCCCCGTTCGTTCCACATGCACATGGCTGCGTGCTCATGTGGTGAATCTGCAAGCTGGCGCTCACTTCTGTCGCTTGCGTTGTGTGTGCAAGCTTGGGGCAGAGGGAGAATGTGAAGAAATTGATCACATACTTGGTGGAGACTCCCGACCAAGCGGAAGATGTCAAGCGCAAGAACAAGTGAGTTGGGAGAGCAAAGGTTGAGACTGCCAATGTTTGTCTCCATTTCAGAGCTTGCGAGGTTTTAGTGTGAGTCCTGTACCTGGTTAACAGGAGGACCTTGTGCGAGAGCAAATTTGCCTTGGAGGGCAGCACGCAAGATTGGCAAATTCTCTGAACAGAAATTTGTACCAGGTTGCTGTCTGGCAAGATGTGTGTGCATGGAAGGTAGGTGGACGTGCAGGGGCATATGGTCACAATTGGAACGTACCGAATATCCAGACGGCGCCATGGTCTTGTTCTGTTCTGTTGCTGCAGCTTAAGAGCAGTAAACTGGCGATAGTGCAGACAATATTGCTGCCCTGCTTGTGTCATGCCCCACATGTTGTTGAAATTGGTTTGTTGCGGCACTGCCAGCTGCCAGTGTGGTGTCACCAGTGTGAGGGCGATGTTTCGTTGAAGCATGCCTTCATTGGGCTTGCAGTTTGGGGAGTTTTGTACCTCGCAGCTCCTGTATTTGTTTGGCATGGATTCCTTCCGGAGTTTCTGCATTTGTGACGAGTGTCAAAAGTAAACATGGGGCATGCCCTAAGCAAGGCGATTTTGAGTTGTATGGTGAAGCTGTTGTTGGTGCTGATGCACTGCATAGGAAGTGCGGTGTTTATGTAGGCATTCGATGCATAAGCTTTCTGTGGACCCTTGCCGACAGTCTGACAATGCTGCCCTGGCTCTTGTATAGCCTATCCTGTGGCTAATGGTAGTTCTGCTGATTGGCTGTGTATATATGCCTTGCAGATATCCTTATGCAGCATGCGAAGTATTCTGCTGTGAAGTGGATCCCATATTCACCACGTTGTTGGAGGACGATGAGCTGATGAAGACATTCTTCACTATCATTGAGGACAGCCAGTCCCTCAATTGCACCCTTGTTGGTTACTTTGGCCGTGTCTTGACACATCTCATGATCCGAAAATCTGTGCTGATGTTCAAGTACTTGGAGAACCACCCAGCTGTTCTTGATGCCATGCTGGAGCATCTGAGCAACACGTCGGTCACCGAAATTGTCTTGCGACTGGTTGGGGGTGACGAACAGATGAACACGATGGTTCCACCAGCTTACCTGCAATGGCTTGCTCAGACACCGTTGGTGGAACAACTGGTTGGCAAGCTTGGTTCGAAGCATGATGCCGACACACAGCGCAACGTTGCGCAAGTCCTGGGCGCTGTCATTCGGTCACCCACATCGCCCATTGCACGGAAGCTCTCGCAGCCGGAGAGTCTGGACTGCTTGATCGAAACGATTTTCAGCCAACCACAGAGGATCTCAGTGTCAGCTTTGACCGTGTGCATCGCAATGCTCGACCCCCAGAGGCAGCATTCCGATGGGGACTTTCTGATGTCCAGGTCTGAGGATGACAAGCCGGCGTTCCTCCCTGCCATTGAGAAGATTATGGGCATTGTTGGGAGACTTGTGGAGGCTCTTGATGACCCAGAGAGCAAGAGCACCCAGGACACCCCCTACGGCGTTCTGAACCCTCCTGTCGGTTTCTTACGGCTGAAAGTCACTGAGCTGCTGGCTGTGCTCATGGCTTCCTGCTGGGAGCCTGCACAGCAGTGCGTGGTGGAGGCAGGAGCCTTTGAGAAGTGCTTTGAGCTGTTCCTCAAGTACCCCTTCAACAACGCTTTGCACCAGAACGTTCTGAACTTGGTGGGTGCTGCTCTGGAATCGGGCAGACAACCCGTCCTGGACCATCTCTTTCTGGAAATGAAAATCAGTGAATGGCTTGTTTCAGTGCCAGAAAGCGTGTCAGTCGTTCAGAGGCAAGGCATGTGTGCCGGGAGGGATGATGAGAAGGCAGAAGGGGGTGCTCAGTGTGCTGATCACGCAGGGAAGGAAATGTGCGAGGGGAAGGAAGAATGCGAGGGAAAGGAAAAATGCCAGGGAAAGGAAAAGGGCGAGGGGAAGGAAAAGGGCGAGGGGAAGGAAAAGGGCGAGGGGAAGGAAAAGGGCGAGGGGAATGAAAAGGGCGGGGGGAATGAAAAGGGCGGGGGGAATGAAAAGGGCGGGGGGAATGAAAAGGGCGGGGGGAAAGAAAAGGGTGGGGGGAACGAAAAGGGCAAGGGGAACGAAAAGGGCGGGGGGAAGGAAAAGGGCAAAGGGAAGGAAAAGGGTGAGGGGAAGGGAAAGGGCGATGGGGAGGGAAAGGGCGATGGGGAGGGAAAGGGTGAGGACTGCAAAGGAGAGGTGCCCAGTGTCCAAGTCTTGAAGGCTGGCTACATCGGCCACCTCACAATCATGGCGAATCACATCCTTGAGATCAGCAGGAAGGCTGATCCTATTCGTGGTCTGCTGTCGTTGCAAGCAGGCTGGCAAACATATCAGTCCGAGACACTGAGCGAAAGGAATGACCGGGAAGATGTGACAAAATGGGGATGTGGGCGGCCCACCATTGGAACACAGGTTCCCAGTGAAGAAGGAGATCGGGTAAGTTGCTGGGTGACACTGTAGTGTTCTTGTTGGATTGTCGCAGCTGTGTCCACACAACCAGAGTTTAGCACCCCCACAGTGTTGACATTGCTGTCAGAAACTGGTGGCCCCTATGAGCTCTGTTTGTCGTTGGGCACTGTGAGTTTTGTTCTCAGTTGTATATTGTTGCAGTGCATTCAAATTGAGGTGGCCTGTGACTCTGCCACCCTGCTTCAACCTGTCACTGGTTACCAGTCTATTGTGTGCAGACACACACTGGTCTGGACACGGCAGATTGTCCAAACAAATGGCTTGGTCTGCGGCATGGTGTTGCCTCTATTGATGGAAAATGGGTGTCACTCTCTTGTCTTGATGGTTGGCAACAGCTGTCAGGGTTTGTCCATCTGCTGTGTGAGCAGGTACAGTTTTTCATTGTGGCACATTTGGAATGGGAATTGAGTTAAAATGTTGAAATGTGTAGTTCACTGTTCTTCGCTGCTTCATTTGTAGTGGAAGGTGGGCGAATTGTACTGATGCCAACATCATTTACTCTGACTGTTCACACCTGCAAGGAATGCAGCAATTGAGGAAGGGCAGTTGTTTGTGTCCAAGTTATGGCAGCCGGCACAAACTGCGCATGCTGTTTTAGGCAAATGGATACCCTCTCTGCAATGCAGTGCAGTAGGGGCCTTATGATACAGCAAGTCTGCCATAACCAAAATATGAACATGTTGTCCATTGTGCACCCATGTGTCATTATGTCTGGGCCTACTGCCGATTCAACTCTTCTGCAGATGTGCCTGTTGAGTGGTAACTGCACTGGCCTGTGTTTTATATGGCACTGGGTCCAGTTCTATGGCTCAACGCGCATGGTCACCACAAAGATCCTGTGTGAGTTCAGGAACATACTGTTGTCACAACAGCCCATTGCTGTTTTGCTGTCGATGCCCTTGCTGTGTAGCTCTTAACATGTCGATATGTACAAGAAAACTCCTCTCCGTTGGATGAGTCCATGACATTGCATAGCTGGATCTCAGCCATTTTCACTGTGGGGCACAAGCACCACCAAGCCCGCCATTGGTGCCCATTTTGGTTCAGCCCAGTATTGCAGGATCAGCCCTTTCGCTTATTTGCTGGTCACTCCATTGGCCCAAGACCCTGCAAAAGGATACTGGCTTGGGCATTGACCCATAGCTAGTGCTGTGCACTTTTTTATTTATTTATGGTGTGGTGTCCACAGTTGTCACTGGCTTTTTGTTGAATGTGGCCAAGGGAAGTGTTCACATCTGTGTGGCCTGGGGCTCATCCACTCCTACTGGAGAGACTTGAACACTTGTGCGGCTCTGCTGTTAGCCCTGTCCACCAGGCATTGTGTATGTTGCCTTGTCTTGCACAGCTCCACTTTTCACAAGTTGCAGTCGCAGCAACAGAAGCTTTCGATACTGGGCGGGCTACAACCCTCAGTGACAAATTTGTACTGAGCACACCTGTTTGGCATGTTCCTGGCTCCTGACGTGTTGTGCCTTGTGTTTGTTGTGGGCATATTGTAAAATGGGAAGGTGTTCAATTTCACTTTGTCTGCTAGTAGGCATGATTGCAGCACAGTGAACTGACCTTGGAACGTTGAACCAGTTTTCATCGTCTTGAAATGATTAGTTTCTTTCATTGCCTGAAACAGGACCCCATGGCGATGGCATTGGAAGATGGGTATCCGTATGGTTTGCATCAGGACGACCCAGATATTGGGAATGAGCCAGGAATTGGGCTGACAAACGTTTTGGCCGAGAGTGAGATTCCACCAGAAGATACTCTTATTGCCAGATGGGAATTGGCTGACAAAGTGAAGAGTTGGGAAGAGCTTGTTCCAAGCAGCAGCAGCAGCAGCAGTGAGAGTAGCGGCAACAGCAGTGGTGACAGTAGTAGCGATGAAGAGGAGGATGGCAAGGACCGGATGCAACCAACTGGGGCAGAGGAATCTGGGGGCTCACACAGAATCTCAGGTATGATGCTCGATAGCTGAATCGTTGCATCAGCAATGGGGTGCGGTATGCTGTTTAGCTTGGGCATCTTGCACAGTGCTTCTGGTGCCGGGAGTCGTGTGCATGGGAGCATGTGACGTCTGTTTATAGTATGGTTTGGCGTGGTGCTTTCAGGTCCTGCTTTCGTCTCCAGTGGTTTGGGTGACAGCGACGAGGTGCGCTATGATTCAAGCGACGACGAAGGAGAGGCCCATCATGACGACAGGGCCGTATCTTCGGAAGACTGTGTGAAGGCTGGAATCGCAGAAGAAGGGAGCACAGAGACGGGGAACAGCCAAGAAGCGTGCCCTGCAATGGCTGAACAGGAGCCCAACGGCGAAAAACCAGTCAGTTGCGGAGTTGTGGGTGATGCAGACTCTGGCCTCTCTGAATTCTCGTCCTTCAACTACTGGAAGATGGATCTCAGTCTCAGCGAGATCCCAGATGTCCTGTAGTGTTGAGGCAAGTGAACTGAAGTGAATTTGTGAAAGTATATGAGCACATGAGCGGGGGGAGATAGGCATTTGTGGCATGCGGAGCGCTGTGCGGTTGTTTTTTTCTATATTTTCTTGTATCTCTGCCTGGCAGCACTCATCGTGTAGTTGAAACATGCTGTTACAACCCGCATGAATTGGTGACATTTATGGGAGGGAAGGAGGTCTTGTTTACAAAATGCTGCTGCTATTTTATATCCAGCACTCGTTGGCTGTGATGCGAGTGGAAAGGATGCAGACATCATCTGAGGTGTCCTGCCCCGTCACACCACCATCTCTCTTGCATCTTGCGAGGTCTTGTTGGTACGCACACGTGCTTGCAAGCCGGAATGCGCAAGATGCCTGAAGATTCTTGTCGCTGTCCATGTTCACTGTGCAGCAATTGTCAAGGAAGTGCACCACATCAGAGTGACAGGCGTCGCTGAGTGGATCAAGGAGGCCACTGACAGGGGCAGTGTGCAGAACAGATTGTTGTTGAGCAAGAACGATGACCGGCATTCACTACTTATCACAGACATAAGCGGCACTTCTGCCTTACCGGTCTCCTGAGCCCACCTGGTCATGTACTGCCCCAGGACAAAACGCTTACAACTTCACTGCAACCCAACGTACTGTACCCGAAGTCCCTATATTTCACGTTCGCCCTTCGCTTCTGTGATACTTAACGCCACTCAAAAAGTGACTCACCCCATGAGTCAGCTTCCTAGTCCCGTACTCCATTCCCTTCGCTACCTCTCCATCCCACAACTAAACCGAACACCACCCTCTAGGGCGGGAGGGCCAGGTGCAAAACAAGGTAAGGAAGGGGCCGAGGGGGGAGCCTAAACAGCCGCCCCCGCTCAGCCCCGCCAAAACCGATGGCGCCAAGGTTGACAGCACCTTGTATTTTCGTACTTTGACTGACCCACGATACCGAGGTGTCCAGAAATCCCAAGGGGGCGGGCCCTGAGTAAGCCCCAAGCTCAAACTGCACTGTTTGAACCACTGGCGCAGCCCACCCGTCGTCTCCCTTGGCCGAAACTCATTAACAGGGTACTTAATTGCATTTGTCCCGAGCACATGTCCAATATTATGAAGATTAGCTCGAAGTGTGTAAGCACTGCAATGCTGTGTTGTGGGTCGGGCTGGATCCCCACAGCATGGGTCTGAGTAGAGCGTGGGCACTGTCACCTCACAGCTCGTTGTCTGTTGAGCAGCACCTGTCTCAAAAACCAAATCGCTTGTCAAGTTTGAAATTGTGACGTCCGTGCGCTGTCCAATTGGCCGATGCTGTTCGAAGTCTTGGCCTGTACCAAGGACGCAACTCCCACAGCATCTTAACTGCAGTGGCAAGGAGCAGAGCACGGTTCGCAGTCAGAACGTCTCGGTCCCCCATGGGATACATGGCAGGCACCGCTGCTCGCTAAAGCGCAGCCATGCAAAAAGGGTCCCGATACACTCTTGCCATGCAAAAAGGGTCCCGATACACTCTTGGTGGTACGGCCCGTTTTTTTCTCCAAATTTCTGGGCGCAACATTTCTGGGAATTGGCCGTCGCACAGGGCGTCGCCTGGAATCACCAACTGTCCTGGGACGGCTGAGGGATAGGCAAGGCCTTGGCCACCGTTCCAACCTCATAAACACCTGTTCTTGTGCATTCAGCGCTGCGGTTCGTGCACTGGCGCAGCTTTGGTTACCTCAGTGTGGGCCCCTAAGTCGCTGCATTGACGAAACTCCGATAGCTTTGAGCAAGCTGCTGACTGTGCAGAACGGAGGCCTGCGGGCGCGGATCGATGGCAGGGTAGCGAGCTGCAATGCCGCATTGGCTGGCAGGAAGCTCTGGGCACGGGATGGAAGGTGCCTTGGCGTTGGCGACGCCCCCAACCAAGCTCGCCAGCCCCAAAATTCGCTTCCAGCAGACTCCCGCTGCAATGCCGAAGCCGAGCCATCCCGTCACTGCCCTTGATGCCCCCAACTGCTTGAGATCGGCACTGAGGGCCATCTGCAGACGGTGTGCTATTGAAGTACAGCTCACAATGTGGTGTCAGCGGCCCAGTGTGCCAAGGCATGCGCGAGGATTATCAGGTTCTTGTGAGTGAACTTGCTTCTGTGGAATGTGTGTGACGATTTTACCGCAGTGCTTCATGGTTTCTCTAGTGCGTTTCCTGCGACAAAGACCATGATGTCATCTGTCGCACCGAATGCCGTCCATGAGTCAGCAATATTCACCACATGTGTAGAATACATATCATCTTGCCGCGCAGCCCCACAGTTTTAAATTTCAGAGCCCGGCGGTTTTCTCCTAACTTTGTTTGCCATCTTCCTGGTGACCTTCCTCATCACTCTTGCCAACCTGACGATTTCGTACCCCGTCAAAATCCAAATATCGACTTGCGCAAACACAATCATGTATGGCGCAATGTCTAATTTGCTGTCAGGGATGACCGATGCTACCGCCAGTCCAAGAATAGCGAGTTCACACAGCGAGCACAGAATTTCTGCCACAAGCAAGAAAAATATTCTGAATGGCCGGAAGACGCCCAAATGGCCCAACATTCCGGCATGGCTCAAAATGAGCATCCAAAGCTGCCAGGAGCTTGTCGGCTCTCTGTAGAAAAGCCCCAGGAGGAGCGCGGCAAGAGTCTTATTGGCATAATGGAGCGTCGGCGTCAGTAGAACTGTCAGGCCACTTGCTTTCCTCGTGAGGATGTAGTCCTCGCCAATGTTGTCTTCAAACACGTGGCTGTACTTATTGCCCAACAGGCGAAATTCCAATTGCAGTTGTCTCCTTTCCTCCGCATCCCTTCTGCCCTTCTGTGGCTGCACGAAACAGTATTTGGAGAATCACAAGCCATGCGCATTCTCGCTACTAGTGAGGAAAATGTTGTTGGGCAACGTCTTGGGCGGCATTCCAATTTATGACAACAGGTCCACACGTTGGACCCGGTCCCTGGGATATCGCCAGTAGGCGCCTCGTGGAAGCCAGGCATTGCAAGACCTGGGAAATCTTCTTGCCTAGGATTTTCCAATTGACAGCAAAGCACAATTTGACGCACAGCCGTTTGCCCATTCGCCCGAAAGGGCGCTTGAGGATGCTCGTGGGCGCAGAAGAACTCCACCACAGCGCGAAGAACTCCGGTTCGCAGCATTGGCACTTTCAGACCAAGATGCACTCAAGGAGGCTCGCCGTCATACGACGCATTGCGCACCTCGGCGCCACTTCGCGCAGCAGCTCCCGCCACGTCCACACGCCGACGCTGAGCCGCACTTCCTTCCTTCGTGTTCCGATCTGCCATTTAGCGAAACAGGTTAGATAGCACCATGGCATTTGACAGGGAAGATAGCGTCACTGAATTTCACCTTCCATTCGGCGAACGGAAAGTCCGGCATCGGTATCGGAAGCTATCCATGGCGTACGCCGTTCTTGCTGTTGTATGTTACTGGTGTTTCAGTTGCTCGCGCGTGCAGTTCAGCGAAGCGTTTTGTTCAGCCATCTGTTTCAGTTGCTGATCTGCTCTTTTGAGACCCAAACGAACGCACGTGTTCGGCTGTTGGGCATTTGGCGATGCGGCTGCGCCAGGCGACAGCATTGCCGCATGAGACGATTTCGAATTCAAGACCACCACATTCTGGCGGAGCGCCCATTCTAGACATCCTGCGCCTCGAGCGCGGGTTTGTGCCTGAGCTCCCCCCATTTTGGGCAACTCCATTCACACCCCATAGTTTAGATCCATGCAAATTTTATTGCGCTCCACGACCACTGACGCTCATCGAAGCACAAAATCTGCGTTGGGAAGTGCCTCTTAAGGAAAGCACTTGCCACTGTTGATCACACCCAGCCCACGTGTTTCCAAATTATGCAGTTGCAAAATGCACGTGTAGTCTGGCCTAATCTGTCACTTGCACAGGATGCGGGACGCGGGCTAAGTAATTCAAGAAACTCCGACATGGAATGAATTGAAATGGCGCTTTCTACATCGGCGCGCCTCAAATGTATGCCTGCACTGTCGACCAACCGATCAATGCAAAAAAAAAATGGTTGAACGAATTGTCCTCCAAGGCTTCTGAGGGACAGCCTACCAATCCTTGCCCGATGCACTCAACAATAGGCGCTACTCGCCAAGGTTGCAAATGGAAATCAAAAAAGCCTTTGGTCGAACTGAGAAGAGAAAAGGCTTGCGTGGGTAGCCACATCGTGCACGCAATGAGGCACGTGGTCAACAGCACCTTGAACAGTTTGCCAGATGTCTGTCACGGCGGTCATCTTGCGAAGAAGGTGATTTACAATAGGTGATGCATGGAAAAAATGAGGGTCTGCGCCCACATGCAGCAACGGAAAACTCGCTGTTATAACCGTGACAAGTTTGTCAGTGTGGTGCAGCACTTCGGCAGTGAACAGCGGATACAGTACAGGAACAGTGATGTTTTGCTGATTATCTCACGATTCAATATGTCTGCAGTGTTGCGTCGTACCAATGTACCACAACAGCGTGGCACAATGATGTGACGCAACATGAAAAGTCTTATACCATGCAATAATCGGAGAAGGAGTGTTGTGCAAACTATTATTGTTGCTGTCTGGTGGCTCCGACGGGTGCGTTTACCGTGCTCAGCTGCTTCTGACATGACGTCCAGCTGTTGTAGACTCCAAGTCAAAGAATCTTGCTCGCTCGCCATGTACACGAACGACAATAGCGCAGGTGCCGGAAGAAGGACTGAAAACAGGACTCCAGTCATGAAACCCGACACGCTTTCATCGCATGCCAGCTTAGCCGCTGAATATACCAAAGGAGGGGAGGAAATCACAAAGGCGATCATCTCAGGCTTGGGAAATTTCAACAGGCTCGGCGCCTTTGCCTTCTGGAACATTGTCGCGTGCGCTCTGAGGCCTGCAAGGTGAATGAACGTCAGTGCGCTGAGTATGGAAAGAAATGAAAGGATGCTGAAAAGAAACCTTGACGTTCTGTCCTCGCTCTGAGGCTC